TATTGTATCCACACTGTCCCTAATAGTGGACCAACCACAACTAAAATATTTACTTTGAGTGGTGCTTTTTGTTAATAGCTGGCACCCATACTAAATCAATGTATCTGTGGGTGACAAATAAAATGCAGGTGGATACCACTCTCGCTTTTGGCTTCGAAGGTTATTTTTAAGGTCAATATAATTTTTTTAAATATTTTCTAATTTTAATTAAAAAAATATTCTGAGTCAACTGACTCGACAAGTACAGTATGATGACATGCTTACTCCATCCAAATTACCAACTCAGGTCAAATTTAAGGTAAAAAATGTGAGAATTTTTTTTAATTGGACAAAAAACAAACAAAAAACAATGAGCAAGTCTGTGTTACCACAATCAGTAGTGAGTAGGATGACCCATAAACAAATATCATGTAAGACTGTAAGTCATGTCATGTTTATTGGGCGTGCCTGCCCGTATATAGAGTATTGAGTTGGTGGAGATGGAGAGACACCGAGGAGGCTGGTGTGTAGGGTAGTAGTAAGGGGAGCTTGTTTGCGTATAAATGCCCGACACGGCAAAGTCGGCCAGCCAGGGCTGGGCATGTGATGCCGGGCAGGGCACTGCCACTGTATCTATCCCCATCAGAGAGTCAACACCTAACATGTTTCTCTTGAGACTTTCAACAAGTAAGTTTAACCTGTACTTAAGTTATCATCGGTTATCATTGTGACAACATGGAAATATAGCAATTTAAGTACTCATTATAAGTGTTAAGATTAGACTAATTACATAGTTATGATTGTTATGTGAATATACTGTACAGTATAGTCTGGATTTACACGGTTTTGGTCATTTACGTGGTGCCTTGCCAGAATTGAAATGCTTTAATTACGCGGTAAATTTGGTCATTTACGCTGAGAGCAGCTGGAGGTCCCGAAGCGCCACGCCATTTTGTATTCAAGCGGCCCATGCTTGACCATAAGCGGGGACGTGGCGAGGGGAGGGGTGCGCAGTATGTCGCTGTTGCGTTATCGCTGATGTCATATGACGTATCTGACTGTGATCGGGCCACGCATCCTTACCACTCACGCATTCCCTCTGCCGCTAGCTGTGATTGGTCTAATGTAACATGACGTGCCCTGCCACCAGAGGGTAGAAGTCGCTGACCTACCGGGACTGTCTCATTGTTCTCAGTTCTCCGTGTATACAGTTCTCTCTTGTGCCCGGTATTCCCCTCACAACTCACAATGGCTTCTGCGGGACCCTCCACCACCAGAGAAAAACATTGAATTACCTGGACCAAGCCATGATAATGTGAAGGAAATCATCGAGTTGGGGGAGAAAATTAAGCTCATCCTTGACAAAGACAGTCAAGCATCGGTATGAAGTGCCGAATAACCTTATGTCGAAATTTATGGAGCCGTATATCCAGATCTATCTCGACAACATCAATGCTAGTCGTCAACGTAGTATTGAGGACTTCCTCGACCGCAACCCACCACAACCACAGCCAGCCCAAGTCAGTGATAGTGATAGTGAGGATATGGACTTTGAGGGGTTTGTCTGGGAGGCCCTGCAAACCTCTGCGAGTAGTGAAAGTGAAAGTGATTCACTGGAGGGCAACTAATCTGCCCTCTGCCTCGGAACCAGCCGCCATCCACGTATGCCGACCCATCTCTTCTACTAACATAAATGTTAAACCTTGATTTTTCTTTTACCTGGTGCAGTATCTTATTCTCTTATTGATATTTATCTTCTATATTATGTGTGTGTGCATACCATCATAAAGTTAAGATACTATTTTTACTACAATGTACGTATTGTGTCGGCAAAAAGTGGAATTTGGAGGTCAGCCCAGTCTCTATTTCAATTAATCCCAACGTTCTGTTATTTCATTAACGCGTTTCTGATTTTACGCGGTACTCCACGGGTTCAATTGACCGCGTTAATCCAGACTATACTGTACTAAGAATAAATTGTATTCAACAGGTTTGACCGAATTATAACGCTCGAGTTCAATGTGAAGTCTGAATATCCCTTAAACACTCAGAAGGCATTTACAGTCTGTTTGTCAAAACAATTTCATTTAACAATATTAGTGCCTAATATATAAGTTTGATGGCATGAATTAAGTACTCACAGTAACAGGATTATCACAACTAAATCACAAAGCAGTAAATACAAATATACACTAGTAACATCTACAAGTTCACATTTCTTGATGAACAGCACCTAAATGCTGCACTGACAGTCACAATTGTGTGGATTACAATCACTTAAGAACAGAAGTAGTACTGTAGTTCCTTACAGCACATTCCAGCTTCTCTCTATTTCAGCCCGGAAGAGAGACACAGATCTACTGTCCAGCTGCGTTACAGCAACCGCTGTTGTCACAACCACAAGCTGTTGTACACTTTATCCTTTTTCTGAGGCAGTTGCACCTAGCAGTCTTGCACTTCTTACAACCAAAAGCAACAAGCACCAGGCAGGCTTCATGTATTGGAAGAAGTTTTGTCCACACTGGTAGGAGGCTGAAGTGTCCACTGGATCTTCAACATCTACGTTGTCTTGTCAGCCTGGAGCCATATTTTGGCCTGATAGTTTGCCCGCTTGGCATGGAGCTCCAAGGCATCCTTTGTCAGTGGGAGCATTTCCAGAGTCTTCTTGGCCTTCCCAGAAAGGTGAGCTCTGGTGTCATCAACTGTGTGTTGTTCCAGAGTGCCATACAAATGATACACAAACTTCTCAACATCTGCAATACCCTCATCTCGACCAATGGTGTTCAGCAGGAGTGGGTGGTCACTGAACACCTTGCAACACTTATTTTTCCCCTGACCACTAAAGGACATGACTGTTTCACTCCCGGTCAAAGCGTGGAAGCTGACCAAGTTGTCCGTGACTGGGGGGCAACAAACTCTTGAATACATCATGCACCAGGTAGCATTTTCGGCTCTTGGCCGTTCCACAAAGCATCCACACTTCAGTGATGTTGGTACAAATGAAGTGATTCATCAGCACTATTACACCAGTGTCTCTGACCACTACCAGTATTTGTTCATAGCTCTGGGATGTTACATCAAATGAGTGAAGGATGAGCCTGGTGTCTGCCTCTTCATAGTTGCTATGCAGTAGAACAACATGTTGCCTGGGTGACCGTACTTCAGTGGCTTCAGAGAAGCCATCCCCTGTCACCAGCTCACATCTTTCTAGAAAATCTCTGCCTTTCTCAGTGATAACATTAGACAGAAGCAAGGTTAGGTCAGTCTTGTTGGTAGCCAGGGCCATGATGTTTTTCCACTTCAAGCAGTGGAACTTGTGGGTCATCAGTGACTTCCCAGTCGATATCTTCTTGCTTACACACTTTGTCCTGGTAACTGCAATCCTTCCCTTGCGTACCAATCAAAGATAACATCAACTCTTGTTGTGTGTTCATTGAACAAACTCGTCACAGCCTTGAAGAACACTTCAGCAGTCGCCGAATGTCCGACAGCTGCCAAGCTTGCCAAGAGCTTGGATGAGTGCATGGCCATCCATCGTCACACAGGTCTTCAGATCAAAGGTTGAAACCTTTGAACTTGTGGTCTGCTGTGCCATCAGGAAGTTCATCAACTCAGACTTCGATGTCAAATTCATCTCTCCTCCTGCCTTCACCAGACTAAATAAAACAGTTCATGCTTCAAGATGTTGACCATCTCCACCATGCAATTTGCGGTCACAGCATTCAGGAGCCACTGTAGTAACTTTCTGTCAGCTTTGATGGTCTTCTGCATGTTCTACTTGGTGAAAACTGTGTACCAGCACCTTTACATTATATACTCACCAAAATGTATAACACCAAATTATTCACTAAGTTATTCAATGACTCGGTAGTCATTCATGATATACACGCTGAGCTTCTAACTCTCCCAGGGTGCAGGTGAGGTCAACCCAACTAAACAAACAACTCGCCTGCTCCTCCTCCCTTCACGCTCGGACATAGCAACCGGTATTCTCTTGCCACTACTTATGGGGTGAACACCTAACTTAAGTGTTCCCATACAAGTGTACTCAAAACACTTCCCCTGGAGAGAATTCACAATACATTCTCTCCTAAATTCAGGACCGTGTATACAGATGCTTCAACAATGAAGAAAAGCCCAGAAGAAGTGCTTATATCAGCCCTGCCACTTTAAGAGTTCCAGAACTTATTTAAAACAATTGTGTGATACCCAAAACAGCTATCACAACTGTAACTTTGTACACATCAGCTAAGGTTTTTGACCAATATTTCTTTATTGTTTCATGAAAATGATCAGTCTCTCCTTCATGTAGCAGATTACATGAGCTGTCAGCAGGTTCTCCACAACATCTCTGGGTGGAGTGTCTTTGGTTGTCAATGAAACAAGTGGGATTTTAGTGGTGGAATCAGTATCTCCTGCTTCACCCACGAGAACTCTGAAGAAGTCAAACTGCTGCTACTGCTGAACAAGCTTCATAACATCATGATCGTCATGCGTAGTGCAAAAACGCAGACTGTCAACATTCTGTGATCGCTGATGCACCCATGGTCTGCTGCTGACTTCGCATCCTTTTGAGTTTGTCTTCAGAGGTGAATAAAGAGTAGCATGACTTATGCTACTTGAGTTCCAATGCACTGAAATCATCCTTGGAATGACTTTCCAGTCTTTGTAAAACATCAAGTTAGTAAGTATCTCCCAGGTACCTTCTCTCATCACCCAGTCATAGTTCTTGCTTTTCCTTCTGCTGATGCTGTGCCCAAGTCACCAGCACTGCTTTGGCAAAAATAGCAACACCCTCACTAACATCCTTGATGACCTATCCTTCAGCATTATTATTATTTTACCAGCTGGCACTGTTTGCGCTTTTAACTGCATATATCAAACCAATGTCTGGCCAGCCAGAGCCCTGAAAATATTCAACATGACACAGTATGCTAATACTTGTACTATGGCAGTAGTAGACCCATGTGCACCTCACCCAGCATGCTAAATGTATTTTTAATGGAAATAAAAACACCCAGTCATAGTTCCATTCATTTATTATCAATAAAATTACAACAATATGCTTTATGTGCTAATGATATGCATTTAAACACAGTTACATAGAGCCACCATTGAAATTAAAAAATTAAATTTTTGACTTTTGTGACCTTGTATGTAACCCTCAACCCAAAACTGAGTGGGGCATCCACCCACAATTTGTTTGGCACCCTCAATACAACTTATCTAACGTGGGTTCCTGCTATTACCAAAAAAGACTTAATTTTTTCTAGATGACTACTCTCTTTGGCCAGCCTATTATAATGGGCAGTCATGCCTATGGGACCCAGTTTTCAACAACAGTTTCAGAATTCTTCCTTAACAATATCTATTTCTTCCTGGCACTCCATCTTTAAAGAAGATTGGTCAATTATCTCAGGCCCTGGTGAAGCTTCTGTCTCACAAATAACTGAGAGTGGATCATAATTAGTTTCCTTTTTCACTCCTTCAGAAACACACATCTCCACTGTTGGTTGGCTAGACAAGCTCAAATCATGGTGCAAATCCTGGCAACTTTCACCTTCATAGTGATTAGAGTTAACCACTTGGTCAGTCTGGTAACATCTCTCTACATGTAATATTAAACTCTCTTTTTCTTTAAAGTGTTTCATGCATTTTACACAGTGGAAATGTTTTTCTGAGAGAACTTCCTTGTGTCTTATTAGAAGATAACTTTTAGAAAAGCCTTGATGACATTCTGAACACTGAAATGGTTTTTCTTCAGTATGAATTCTATTATGTTTTATGAAAGAGGATTTATATGAAAAATGTCTTAAACACTCAGAACACTGATAAGGTTTCTGGCCTGTATGAATTATCATATGTATCTGTAGGTCACAATTTCTTGAGAAGCCTTTCAGACATTCAGCACACTGATAAGGTTTCTCTCCTGTATGAATTCTCATATGTTTGACTAAATAAGAATTTTCTGAAAACTGTTTCAGACACTCAGAACACTGATAAGGTTTCTCTCCGGTATGAATTCTCATATGTTTCTTTAGATCATATTTTTGTGCAAAGCCTCTCAGACATTCAGCACACTGATAAGGTTTCTCTCCTGTATGAATTCTCATATGTTTGACTAAAGAAGAATTTTCTGAAAACTGTTTCAGACACTCAGAACACTGATAAGGTTTCTCTCCGGTATGAATTCTCATGTGTTTCTTTAGATCATATTTTTGTGCAAAGCCTCTCAGACACTCAGAACACAGATAAGGTTTCTCTCCTCTATGAATTCTCATATGTTTGACTAAATAAGAATTTTCTGAAAACTGTTTCAGACACTCAGAACACTGATAAGGTTTCTCTCCTGTATGAATTCTCATATGTTTCTTTAGATTATATTTTCGTGCAAAGCCTCTCAGACATTCAGCACACTGATAAGGTTTCTCTCCTGTATGAATTCTCATATGTTTGACTAAAGAAGAATTTTCTGAAAACTGTTTCAGACACTCAGAACACTGATAAGGTTTCTCTCCGGTATGAATTCTCATATGTTTCTTTAGATCATATTTTTGTGCAAAGCCTCTCAGACACTCAGAACACTGATAAGGTTTCTCTCCTGTATGAATTCTCATATGTGTGACTAAAGAAGAATTTTCTGAAAACTGTTTCAGACACTCGGAACACTGATAAGGTTTCTCTCCGGTATGAATTCTCATATGTTTCTTTAGATCATATTTTTGTGCAAAGCCTCTCAGACACTCAGAACACTGATAAGGTTTCTCTCCTGTATGAATTCTCATGTGTTTTGTTAATTTACTTTTATATGGAAAGTTTTTCAAACATTCTGAACACTCAAATGGCTTCTCTCTTGTATGATCTTTCACATGTGTTACTTGATGTGATTTTACAGACAATTCTCTGGGAGACTCTGACTGTTCCTCTGAGTGACTTTCCATTATAAAACTGTGTGTATTGTGTGTTCAAAGGTTTTAGTGACACTTAACTGGCAAACTGTTTCCTCGTACAAGAACTATTAATGTCTTGTTAATTATATTTGACAATGAAAACTGAAACATAAATCAATTAGTGAATGTGATTTACTGACACTGATGTAATGATGCTGAGATGGGAGAACAGTGAGGAGGTAAGTGTGATGGAAGATCCAGTTTGTGATGTGACTACACCATTATTAACAAGGTTCCTCTATACCTCTTTGAACTAAATGTGAAAAATGGTGTAAAGAATGAGTTACACATATAACTATACTTGTCATTAACAAACACTGTTTATGACTTACAAAATACACTAAAAAACACTCAACAGGGAAGTGTACAAAAATATATATTGTACACTATTGTTATGTGTATAGTTCATCTAATGAACAGTAAGCAATTATACTCAGGCTGATATACTGTATTACTGTACTTGTGATGGCTGGTAAACAATAATACTCAGGCTGATATACTACTGTACTTGTGATGGCTGGTAAACAATTATACTCAGGCTGATATACTACTGTACTTGTGATGGCTGGTAAACAATAATACTCAGGTTGATATACTACTGTACTTGTGATGGCTGGTAAACAATAATACTCAGGCTGATATACTACTGTACTTGTGATGGCTGGTAAACAATAATACTCAGGTTGATATACTACTGTACTTGTGATGGCTGGTAAACAATAATACTCAGGTTGATATACTACTGTACTTGTGATGGCTGGTAAACAATAATACTCAGGTTGATATACTACTGTACTTGTGATGGCTGGCAAACTTTTATTACATGTGACAAAAGTCTTATGAGGGGGTGAATCTTTACACAAGTTTTGAATTATTTCAAAACATATTTCCACAAGGAAGAATAATTTCTTTTCTAGTTGTAATTCTTTGGTTCAGTTGGTAATACTTTGTCTATGTCCACTGTTGTTTACATCTGCACCCAATATAGTGTTCTCACAGTCTACTGCTTCTCTTTCCACTGCCATTTGTTCTTCAGTTCATATCTGTGGGAAGGAAAGTCAAACATATTAGTGAAATAATCCAACAAATAACTCTAATAATATTTACCAACTTAAGAAGATAGACACAATATTCACACAGACCTCTCAGCCAGCTATACATGCCAGTGAGGTGGCTGTAACCTAGCTGACAAAAAATAAAAATAAATAAAAATTTATAAAAACTGTGTACAGTCGGCCCTTAACATACGCGGGTTTATAATACACGGATTTGCAAATACGTGCATTGCCCCGCTGGAGGAATATTCTGTACATTGAAGTAATTGAAGCACATTCAAATCGCCCGCTCCCGCAACCTCACACACACACGCATAGCTCTCCCTCACTCGGTCAGTCTCGCTGTAACCACGCTTGTGTTGACATCAGCATTGAAGTTGCAAAAATATTACATTTCCGTGAATGTATTATATCAAGCACAGTATGAATAGAATATCACTAATAAAAGAGTATTTTAACCGAAAACTACTAAAAAAACGAGTAACATATCTTGAACATCGGAAGGTTAAGTAAAGTCTTTTGTTTTCATGTAGTTTATCCAAATTTACATTGAAATACATTACGTTTCAGCAAAACTACTATTTATTTTTGAGAATATGGAAATGTAATATTTTGCTGAAGTGATGTACGTATTACAGTGGAAAGTGACGAAAGCAATGACTCGCTTTCTTTCGTTCAAAACATGTTACCGTAATCGCTTTTCGAATGGTTTTCAGTTAAAAAACTGTTGTATTACAATAATATTCTATCCTAATTCACTTGTGATGCAACAGTTTTTTAACTGAAAACCATTCGAAAAGCGATTACGGTAACATCTTTTGAATGAAAGAAAGCGAGTCATTGTTTTCGTCACGATTTTATCCCACATTCCACTGTAATACGTACGTCATTTCAGCAAAAATATTACATTTCCGTGAATGTAGTATATCAAGCACAGTATGAATATAATATCATTGTAATATAACAGTATTTTAACTGAAAACTATTAAAAAAACGAGTAACATCTCTTGAACATTGGAAGGTTAGGTAAAGTCTTTTGTTTTCGTCATGTATTTTATCCTATTTTACATTGAAATAAATCACGTTTCAGCAAAACTACTATTTATTTCTGAGAATATATTCATTCAGGCACAGTTTAGGTAAAATATACATGTGCTGTAACATTTTTTTAATTGAAAACGATTCGAAAAACACGTACCCTCTAGCCCTGTTCAAGGAGAAGACTGGGAGGAGCTGTTTGGTGCTTAAGACGATGACAAGGAAAATGATTTTGATGGATTTAAATGAAAATATTCGGAAAGACCCTGGCACTGTCAAGGAAAGTGGCTGCTGAAGGCTTCCAGGACATGGCAGAGGACGATATTAGGGAGCTAATTGAAGAGCACGACACTGAGCTGGCCGAGGAGGATCTACAGGAGTTAGTAGACTCAGGCAAGGAAGAACGGAAAGGGAAAGAGGATGAGGAAGAGGAAGAGGAAGAGCACCAAGAAATAACGTTGGAGAAGTTGGGGGAGATGACCAGGAATATTGAGAAACTGAAAAACCTGGCCTATAGTATGGACCCCTCCATGGTGCGTGCCCTGAAATTCATGCGAGGGATGGATGACGTTTTCGCTCCATACAAAAACATCATGGAAGAAATGAATGAAAGAGACGACAACTCCCCATCACCATGTTCTTTGATCACCGAAGGAGAGATTTAACACCACCAATCACTGGCGGCAGTGAGGAAGCAGCTGAATCCACCGTCGCCCTCACATCACCACCCATTATGGAATTGAGTGACGATGAGCCCAAGGGCCCCCGTCCTGTCGCCGAGGATAGGAACTGTACAGTAAAGTGAAATTTTTATCTCTTTTTTTTATTAGCTTTTCTTGCCATGTTTATTGTTTGTAAAAATGTACAGCACAGTACAATTCAGTACTAAATAAAATAATAATAATTAACGGTTTATTGAAAGAGCTTGGCAGCCAGAAGGCTGAAAATATACAGTTACATATTTGGGGAATGGGTTACGAATTACAAATAATATACAAGTAACATAAGTGACACAAATAAGACATATAATAACTAGATGGGGAAAAGCTCAAACTACAGTTCATTTCAACATAGTGACAGTGTAAGGAGCAGTGTTTACTGGGAGTGAATACACTGATTTATTACAAGTTATTGATAATTTTTACAATGGTTGGGACTGGGCTGTTCTTATAGCGATCAGTTCGTGCACGTATGGGCTGGATGCGGTTGTGGTGTCGAACAGCAATTCTCGGACTAGGGATCTCAGGTGGTAGTAGGAGCCGGTGTCGAGGATGGTGTAGAAGCTTCTTAGCAAATTTGCAGATGTGGTCGTGGTGATGGTCAGTGAGAGTCGAAAGGGTCAGTGTGTTGAGCGCTTCTTGATATGTGGAGTAGGAAGGAGAGAGAATAATCTTGCATGCCCTCTTTTGCACTTTTACTAGGTATTTCACGTTTGTGTGGCATTTTGGGAAAGACCAGGTGGGGGGAATATAGGTGAGCTTTGGGAAGTATGAATGTTGTGTAAACACTGAGGAGCTCTGTGCAGGAACTCCGAGGACTTGAGTCGGCGGAGGAGGTGGAGACGGAAACTGGAGGATTTGACAACTTCACTGACGTGTGGTTTCCAATTTAGTTTGTTGTCTATGACGCCGAGGAGCTTCGTGGAATCTACAACCTGGAGTGTGTTCGGACCTAGAGTAATGGAAGGAGGTGGGACAATGTCGGAGGAGAGGTTGATGTGCATAACCATGGTCTTGGTATGGTTGATGGTGACATGGTTGTTGGTGGCCCAGTTTTGGAGACTGTTCAATAAATCCTGAAGGGCGGTATAGTTGGGAGCAGAATTGTTGACGCTGATCCCAATGGTGGAGTCGTCGACATATTTCCAGCGAGCAGGGGTTTCTCTTAGGGCATCATTGATGAGCATAAGGAAGCAGAGTGGTCCCATCTTGGTGCCTTGGGGACGCCACAGGTGAGTGACTGAAAGGTGGAGACAGCCCCTCGGAAGCGTATAGCTTGGCGTCGGTCACTGAGGAAGTCTGTAAGCCATGGTATGAGACTTCTCCGAAGCCCGAGGTCAATAGCTTTGTTGATGATTATATTGTGGTCGACTAGGTCGAACGCTTTAGTGAAATCAATGAAGGCGACAGCTACAGACGTTTTTCGTTTCTCGAGATGGCGGTATGTAATCGAGAAAGCTGACAAGACAGTGAGTGGTGGAGGAAGTTTTCATATTGCCAAATTGCTGAGGGTCTACGACTCCTGCAATATCAGCATAAGCCTAGTCGAACACAAAACTTTCACAGATTAGGCTGGGTATTGGGGTGATTGCAATAGGTCGTAGCTGATTTAAGGATTGTGGGCTGGTTGACTTGGGCACTGGTGATACATAAGAGGTCTTCCAGTCAGCTGGGCATCTGACTTGACTGAGAGAAGCATTGATGATGGAGCAGAGGGGTTTAGCAAGCTCCGGGGAGAACTCCTTGAAGAGTTTCATTGGTAAGTCAATGGGGGTGGTAGAGCGTTTTAATTTTAGTTTGTCCAGGCGTTTTGCTACGTCAAATTCTTCTACTAAGTCAGTGGGAAGGGGGGCTGGTAGGTAAGCAGGGAGAGTGGTTGTGTCAAGCCGTGGGAGCGTCTGGCATATAGTAGCGAAATGGTTATTTGTTTGCTTAGCTGCGTCAACATTAGTGAGATGGCTAAGGAAGGGGAGGGGGTGTGTCTTATTGTTTAGTCCACAGAGTTCTTTAAGCTTACCATACCATTGACTGATGTTGGTCTGCTTCAGGTGTACTGTACATAGGAAGTGGAGGTACGGTTATTCACAAAACAATTGTGTTTGTTGTCGGCAGTAGTGACGGTGAAAGGTGGAGGAGGCGGAAGGAGCGAGTTGGGAGGAGTGGTGACATTGGAGGCGAGAGCAGGGACGAGAAGCCAGCCAGTACATTACGGGTGTATTAATTGTTTTTATAGCTATTTTTGCATTTTAATATTAAATACTGTACATTACGTTTCAACAAAACTACCATTTATTTCTGAGAACATGGAAATGTAATATTTTTGCTGAAATGATGTACGTATTACAGTGGAAAGTGAGATAAAATTGTGACGAAAGCAAATGACTTTCTCTTTCTTTCGTTCAAAAGATTTTACCGTAATCGCTTTTCGAATGGTTTTCAGTTGTGGGATTATAAGGCTAATGATAGGAAAGAATATTATTGCATACAGTACGAGTACAACAGTTTTTAACTGAAAACCATTCGAAAAGCGATTACGGTAAAATCTTTTGAATAACGAAAGAAAGCGAAAGTCATTTGCTTTCGTCACAATTCTATCCCACTTTCCACTGTAATACGTACAGCATTCCAGCAAAAATATTACATTTCTATATTTATTTCTGAGAATACGTATATTCATTCAGTCACAGTTAAGGTAAAATATACTTGTGATGTAATATTT